AATCGTTTGTTTAAGTTTACCCGTTAGAAATACACAGTCGTTTCTTTAAGTCTACCCGTTAGAGTTACACATTCGTTTGTTTAAGTCTAAACTTACACTAGCAAATGCAGTTGTTAAAATCACAATGATTCGCTATTTGTGATACAGCAAGCAAAACTTTATCTGACACTTATAGAATGTTTGTCACTTTTCTGAAACTGATTGTCCTTAAATGACGTGAAATAAAACCAAACCCGAATCTGATACAGATATTTTTTCTCGGTTTGTCCTTAAACTGCTATATTGTATGTTTCTAATTGTCTTGAAGCTGATGCATTGTATGTCTCTGTTTGTCCTTAAACTGATACATTGTATGTCTCTGTTTGTCCTTAAACTAATACATTGTATGTCTCTGTTTGTCCTTAAACTAATACATTGTATGTGTCTGTTCTTAAACTAATACATTGTATGTCTCTGTTTGTCTTTAAACTAATACATTGTATGTCTCTGTTCTTAAACTGATACATTGTATGTCTCTGTTTGTCCTTAAACTGATACATTGTATGTCTCTGTTTGTTCTTAAACTAATACATTGTATGTGTCTGTTCTTAAACTGATACATTGTACGTCCCTGTTTGTCCTTAAACTGATACATTGTATATCTTTGTTTATCCTTAAACTGATGCATTGTATGTCTCTGTTTGTCCTTAAACTAATACATTGTTTGTCTTTGTTCTTAAACTGATACATTGTATGTCTCTGTCTGTCCTTAAACTGATACATTGTATGTCTCTGTTTGTCCTTAAACTGATACATTGTATGTCTCTGTTTATCCTTAAACTGATACATTGTATGTCTCTGTTTGTCCTTAAACTGATACATTGTATGTTTTTGTCCTTAAACTGATACATTGTATGTCTCTGTTTATCCTTAAACTGATACATTGTATGTCTCTGTTTATCCTTAAACTGATACATTGTATGTCTCTGTTTGTTCTTAAACTAATACATTGTTTGTCTCTGTTCTTAAACTGATACACTGTATGTCTCTGTTTATCCTTAAACTAATACATTGTATGTGTCTGTTCTTAAACTGATACATTGTATGTCTCTGTTTGTCCTTAAACTGATACATTGTATGTCTCTGTTTGTCCTTAAACTAATACATTGTATGTGTCTGTTCTTAAACTGTTACATTGTATGTCCCTGTTTGTCCTTAAACTGATACATTGTATATCTTTGTTTATCCTTAAACTGATGCATTGTATGTCTCTGTTTGTCCTTAAACTAATACATCGTTTGGCTCTGTTCTTAAACGTATACACTGTATGTCTCTGTTTGTTCTTAAACTAATACATTGTATGTGTCTGTTCTTAAACTGGTACATTGTATGTCCCCGTTTGTCCTTAAACTGATCCATTGTATATCTTTGTTTATCGTTAAACTGATGCATTGTATGTCTCTGTCTATCCTTAAACTGATGCATTGTATGTCTCTGTTTGTTCTTAAACTAATACATTGTATGTGTCTGTTCTTAAACTGTTACATTGTATGTGCCTGTTTGTCCTTAAACTAATACATCGTTTGTCTCTGTTCTTAAACGGATACACTGTATGTCTCTGTTTATCCTTAAACTGATATATTGAATATCTTTGTTTATCCTTAAACTGATACATTGTATGTCTCTGTTTATTCTTAAACTGATACATTGTATGTCTCTGTTTATCCTTAAACTAATACATTGTATATCTTTGTTTATCCTTAAACTGATACATTGTATGTCTCTGTTTGTCCTTAAACTAATACATCGTTTGTCTTCGTTCTTAAACTGATACACTGTATGTCTCTGTTTATCCTTAAACTGATATATTGTATATCTTTGTTTATCCTTAAACTGATGCATTGTATGTCTCTGTTTGTCCTGAAACCGATACAATGTATGTCTCGGTTTAGCCTTAAACTGATACAATGTATATCTCGGTTTGTATGTTTCTGTCCTGAAACTAATACATTGCATGTCTATGCCAAAACCAAATACATTGTGTGTCTCTCTCCTGAAACTGATATAGTGTGTGTTTCTGCCCTGAAACTTTTACATTTGTATGTATGTCTATTTGTGCAAAAACTGATACATTGCATGTCTATGCAAAAACCAGATACATTGCATGCCTTTGTCGAAACCTGACAACTTGTATGTCAATGCCAAAACCTGATACATTGTATGTCAATGCCAACACCTGATACATTGCATGCCTTTGTCGAAACCTGACAACTTGTATGTCAATGCCAAAACCTGATACATTGTATGTCAATGCCAACACCTGATACATTGCATGCCTTTGTCGAAACCTGACAACTTGTATGTCAATGCCAAAACCTGATACATTGTATGTCAATGCCAAAACCTGATACATTGTATGTCAATGCCAAAACCTGATACATTGTATGTCAATGCCAAAACCTGATACATTGTATGTCAATGCCACCACCTGATACATTGCATGCCTTTGTCGAAACCTGACACATTGTATGTCAATGCCAAAACCTGATACATTGTATGTCAATGCCAACACCTGATACATTGCATGCCTTTGTCGAAACCTGACACATTGTATGTCAATGCCAAAACCTGATACATTGTATGTCAATGCAAAACCTGATACATTGCATGCCTTTGTCGAAACCTGACAACTTGTATGTCAATGCCAAAACCTGATACATTGCATGCCTTTGTCGAAACCTGACAACTTGTATGTCAATGCCAAAACCTGATACATTGTATGTCAATGCCACCACCTGATACATTGCATGCCTTTGTCGCAACCTGACAAATTGTATGTCAATGCCAAAACCTGATACATTGTATGTCAATTCCAAAACCTGATACATTGTATGCCTATGCAAAAACCTGATACATTGCATGCCTTTGTCGAAACCTGACAACTTGTATGTCAATGCCAAAACCTGATACATTGTATGTCAATTCCAAAACCTGATACATTTTAAACTGATACATTGTATGTCTCTGTCATTAAACTGATACAGTGTATGTATCTGTTTGTCCTTAAACCGATACAATGTATGTCTCGGTTTAGCCTTAAACTGATACAATGTATATCTCGGTTTGTATGTTTCTGTCCTGAAACTAATACATTGCATGTCTATGCCAAAACCAAATACATTGTGTGTCTCTCTCCTGAAACTGATATAGTGTGTGTTTCTGCCCTGAAACTTTTACATTTGTATGTATGTCTATTTGTGCAAAAACTGATACATTGCATGTCTATGCAAAAACCAGATACATTGCATGCCTTTGTCGAAACCTGACAACTTGTATGTCAATGCCAAAACCTGATACATTGTATATCAATGCCAAAAACTGATACATTGTATGTCCTCTGTTTGTCCTTAAACTAATACATTGTATGTCTCTGTTTTTCCTGAAACTAATACATTTTATGTCTCTGTTCTTAAACTGATACACTGTATGTCTCTGTCATTAAACTGATACATTGTATGTATCTGTTTGTCCTTAAACTGTAACAATGTATGTCTCTGTTTGTCCTTAAACCGATACAATGTATGTCTCGGTTTAGCCTTAAACTGATACAATGTATGTCTCGGTTTGTCCTTAAACATTGTATGTTTCTGTCCTGAAACTAATACATTGTGTGTCTCTGTCCTGAAACTAATACATTGTGTGTCTCTGTCCTGAAACTAATACATTGCATGTCTATGCCAAAACCAAATACATTGTGTGTCTCTCTCCTGAAACTGATATAGTGTGTGTTTCTGCCCTGAAACTTTTACATTTGTATGTATGTCTATTTGTGCAAAAACTGATACATTGCATGTCTATGCAAAAACCAGATACATTGCATGCCTTTGTCGAAACCTGACACATTGTATGTCAATGCCAAAACCTGATACATTGCATGCCTTTGTCGAAACCTGACAAATTGTATGTCAATGACAAAACCTGATACATTGTATGTCAATGCAAAACCTGATACATTGCATGCCTTTGTCGAAACCTGACAAATTGTATGTCAATGCCAAAACCTGATACATTTTATGTCAATGCAAAACCTGATACATTGCATGCCTTTGTCGAAACCTGATACATTGTATGTCAATGCCAAAACCTGATATATTGTATGTCTATGCCAAAAAGTGATACATTGTATGTCAATGCCAAAACCTGATACATTGTATGTCAATGCCAAAACCTGATACATTGTATGTCAATGCCAAAACCTGATACATTGCATGCCTTTGTCGAAACCTGACAAATTGTATGTCAATGCCAAAACCTGATACATTGTATGTCAATGCCAACACCTGATACATTGCATGCCTTTGTCGAAACCTGACAAATTGTATGTCAATGCCAAAACCTGATACATTGTATGTCAATGCAAAACCTGATACATTGCATGCCTTTGTCGAAACCTGACACAGTGTATGTCTATGCCAAAAACTGATACATTGTATATCAATGCCAAAACCTGATACATTGTATGTCAATTCCAAACCTGATACATTGTATGCCTATGCAAAAACCTGACACATTGCATGCCTTTGTCGAAACCTGACACATTGTATGTCAATGCCAAAACCTGATACATTGTATATCAATGCCAAAAACTGATACATTGTATGTCTATGCCAAAAACTGATACATTGCATGTCTATGCAAAAACCAGATACATTGCATGCCTTTGTCGAAACCTGACACATTGTATGTCAATGCCAAAACCTGATACATTGTATGTCAATTCCAAAACCTGATACATTGTATGCCTATGCAAAAACCTGATACATAGGATGCCTTTGTCGAAACCTGACAAATTGTATGTCAATGCCAAAACCTGATACATTGTATGTCAATGCAAAACCTGATACATTGTATGTCTATGCCAAAAACTGATACATTGTATGTCAATGCCAAAAACTGATACATTGTATGTCTCTATTCATCCTTACACTGATACATTGTATTGATCTGTTTTTCCTGTTTAGGGGTCCGTCTCGAATGACTCCATGACTCTTTGCTGCTGTGGACCCTGCGCTACGTGCCAGATGGATCGCGAGCTAACCAATATGGGAGTGCTGTGAGGACTGTGATACTGACAAAGACGCCATTATACTTGGAATTTTGTATATATTGAAAGAGACAATAATTATCTTTTTTTCTCTCACTAGCTTTGACATCGTCTTACCTGTTTTTATACTCATAAACTTGGTAAAAGGCTGTATTTTTTCATCCAAGACGTTTTCAAAACTGTCAACATTTTCCCCACGAATGAGGTTGTAGTAGCATGTGATTATCGTTTCAGCTGAGTTTGAAAACAAACAGGACGAAAAAAGTGGGTCAGCGTTGTGCATATCATGATGCAGTTGCGATTATGTCAATAGTAGTTTGATGTTTTGCACTTTATTTATAGACGCTACAAAGTAATGCAAATGTTATATTATGTTTATATTCCATAGAAAATGGTTGATAACTCGTGGAAAACCCTACTTATTCGGGATTATTTACATATTGATATTGTTGATATTGGTGAAGTTAATCACAGATATTACCTTCCCTGGGGCTCTGGTATATGGTCGATGGAAAATTATAATTCGCTAATTTCTGCTTTCCAGTAGGAGACACAAATGAAAGTTAGGATTAAATAAACTTTAAGTTTGAATATCCTTCTCATTTCGATGTAAAGCTTGTCGTGTTTGTATGTTTTAACTTAAAAAGTGAATCATCAATCAAAGATTTTTTTCTAATAAAATGTATTCTAAATACATCAGCTCTATTTTATTTTTAGTTGTTTTCTATGTAGGATCTCGTATCATCAAAGTTGAATATATACTCAGTTTATACTCATTTCTGATTTTGAAACTTCTGACTGATTATGGGAAATATATATATACGTCATTGATTGTGGAAGTAACACCCCATCCAGTGACGTCATTCATTGTGGAAATCATACCCCATACAATGACGTCATTTATTGTGGAAATAATTCCCCATCCAATGACGTCATTCATTGTGGAAATCGTACCCATCCAATGACGTCATTAATTGTGGAAAGCATATCCCATCCAATGACGTCATTTATTGTGGAAATAATACCCATCCAAATTATACCCATCCAATGACGTCACTCATCGTGGAAATCATAACCCAACCACTGACGTCATTCATCGTGGAAATCATACCCAATCCAATGACGTCATTCGTTGTGAGAAATCTGGATGACATTCACTTGAGAATATATTTCATTGAGGGAAATCTGGATATGATATTTTGTTAGAAATGTATGTCATTCCATATGGTTACCGTGTGTCATTAAAGTATCTATTTTAGGAAATCCACATCATTCATTTTGGGAAATCTTAATAATTTATTTAAGGGAATTTACCTACCATTTTGGGGGAATCTGTCTCAATAATTTTAGAAATACCAGTTCACCAAATATACGTAAATCCAACGTTGAAATCATATCCGTACCTGTGATGTTATCACTAGTGGCCACCAGAGGGCAGCAATATAGCTTCACCGCTGACGGTCAGTGACGTCAGAAGTCTATAGACTACAGTCGAAGTATTTATTGCTTTGTATGGTATGAGCTGAAATTCATATCGATAAAGCAGTGTAGTCCGTCGATACTAGGCGAAGTAGGACAATATGAGCTATTGTTTCCCGATTAGTTTTGTAACTTGAATGTTCTGTGCCAAATTTGTTTCACGGTTGCCACTTTTTTTTCATTCTCCAGTCGAGCTAGATTTAGGAATACAAAGTTAAGCGTAGATCCAGCACTGATTCTGTATGGTTTGGGCCTTTTTTGGCCCGCAAATCCATCAAAATTAAAAATCTTCAATAGAACTTTCAAATGAGTTTTTCTTTAATTTTGAATACTTCCCTGGTACTATAATGTTAACATTTAATTAGGTTTTCAATTATGGCTGCCATGGTAACCAGTTAATATTTGCATAAATTAATGAAATTTGAATATTCAGTAAATTATGACAGGTTTTTGCTTAGTTTTTCTCTTAGTTACCATAGAGCGCACTCTTGATATTTTTTATATTTCTCCTAAAGATGTATTACAGGTGCTTACACATTATTCTTTGATTTTGAGTTTGTTTAAGCATGCACTCTACAGTTTCCAGGAGAAAAACTATGCAAAATATGACAAAATTCATTGAATATTCATTTTTTTCTAATTTATGCAATTTTGAACTTATTACCATGGCAACAATAAATAGAAATACTAATAAATATTGTCATGACAGTGTTTGGGAAGAATTTAAAATAAAAGAAACAGTCATTTCAAAGTTCATTTAAAGGTTTTGAATTTTGATGCATTTAGGGGCCAAAATAGGCCCAAACCATACATAGTCCTTTATTTCACGGTTGCCACTTTTTTTATTCTCCAGTCAAGGACATAAAAAATGAGTTTTTCCTCATTCGAAGCGAAGCAGACAGCATTTGCCATGATTTTTCCGGTTAATACAAAAATGGATTACATGTAATGTTTCACAAGCGGAATACAAACAAACTCCGTATCATTTCGTTCCGTTTGAAATCCCCCCTGATATTTTGTATTAATCCAGAAGCCATGTTTTAAATGTAGGTCAGAGATGTGCTACAACGACATGGACATGTATTTTGAGTGTTCTATTCCGTAATATACTATATATTTGTGTCTGTGACATATATATGAGATCTATATTATATAAACCGTGAGTAGACATCGTTGTCATGAACTGTTAACCACTTATGTGAGTTTTTCAAGCCGATTTTGTTCCGCCCGGATTTCGGGCGGAAACTGCATCAAAGAATTAGCGCTTCGGAAATGAGAGGTCGCAGTCGGCAAAATCATATCCGATTGAAAAAAGGCCGACCAGCGGCCTCTCATGTTATGGGAGTAGTGAGTGGGCCAGTCCCTACCTACCGAGCCTTATTACACCAAAGACAGGTGGTTGGGCCAGTCCCTACCCACATAGCCTTATTACACCAAAGACAGGTGGTTGGGACAGTCCCTACCTACCAACCTAGCCTTATAACACCACAGACAGGTGGTTGGGCCAGTCCCTACCCACCTAACCCTATAATACCAAAGACAGGTGGTTGGGCCAGTCCCTACCTACCTACCTACCTAGCCTTATAACACCACAGACAGGTGGTTGGGCCAGTCCCTACCCACCTAGCCTTATTACACAAAAGACAGGTGGTTGGGCCAGTCCCTACCCACCTAACCTTATTACACCAAAGACAGGTGGTTGGGCCAGTCCCTACCCACATAGCCTTATTACACCAAAGACAGGTGGTTGGGCCAGTCCCTACCCACCTAACCCTATAACACCAAAGACAGGTGGTTGGGCCAGTCCCTACCTACCTA